AACCTAGTCAAAGTTTCATACCATTTTTTGGTAATTTTTATTTTTTGCTTCAAATTCACAGCCCTAATTGTATTCCATATGCCTTAACCTTCTTCCATATGATAAAATTTGGTCCTTCTGTCATACTTGCTCTTTTCAGTCATCTTCACATGATTCTTTTTCAGGCACTGTTCAGTGAGGTTCGATGAGCATGGTTTAATAAACTTTGTTTATACATTTCTTTGACTCGTTGACTTTGTTAAGCGATTACATTTTGGTTGCTATGTTCTCATGAGCTGTGTTAATTATTTTTTGCTAGTTTTGTATGAGAAATTGACAATCTCTCTTGTAGTCTATTACTCATGCTTTGTTGTTCTTACGTTGAATTGCAGACATCACTGTGGAACAGTCTTCATCCGAGTCAAATAATAGGCACCCCTGCGGTCATTAAAGAAATTGATTGTCTAAAAGCTACAATTGATGAGATCCGCGATGTTTCTGCAAATTTCGTGCTGCCAATCAATGTGGATCGGACTAGGCTATCAGCATTTGCTGGTTGGTTTGATGTTCATTTTCGGGTATGCTGCATGGATTCTTTGGAAACTTTCTTTTATTCTATTTACATAACACTGATTTCTTCCCGCTGACTGAATAAATTCTCTTAAAGGGTAGCGAGCAGAATCCAGTTGAACAAGAAGTTGAGCTGACTACTGCTCCTAGCGTTGACAACTCAACTCACTGGGGTCAGCAGGTTTTTTTCTTCCTATCACTTGTATCATGGCTACTTTTCTGCCTGCTTACTAAGTCTGCTATATCTAAAGGACTGGATAGTTTTTTTGTGGTTCTTACCATATTATTACTACTAAATATTCTTGGCTAGCTTATTTTAAACATTATGCTCTAAATCTTGTCACTTGTGGGATTTTCCCTGCATAGAGGGTCTAGTTTGTCAATTCACGTCTTTACTAGTGCGTCATTGCCTTTATCATGCACGCCAATGATGCAAAATTGCTCATGCTATTTGCACTAAGCATGGGCAATGGTGTAATTTAGATTTAATATGAAAAAAAAATTATTTACGCACATACTATTTAGTTTTAATATGCTTTTATATCTAACATCTAAAATTTATTATTTTTTCTATATAACACGTCAAATATATTAATTCTAATTATTTTTTAAGTCAAATATACTTTGTTCATAAAAGTGTTAATTTGATTATGACATAGTTTTATATATGTAAATATTAAATTTTAGGTGTTGAAAATGTAATTATATAAGAATTGTGTCGTATGTATGTACATTTCATAATACACACACACAAACATACATATGCACAAATATGGAGCAAAAATGTCCACATTATTTCGTTTGCATGATTTTGAGCTTCATTTGCTTGATGAAGATTATGCTTTATGAGATTATAATGATGTTAGTGAAGCAGATAAAGTTTGTTTGACTTATGATGATGATGACTTATGATGATGAGACTAATTGCTTATGAAAATATTAGATTTGCAAAAAAATCATAATATTTTGAATTTTAAGTAATTGAAGTATTAAATTCTTGAATTTAAGTAATATTTATGATGCTTTTATTATCATATTTTTTTATCTTTTAATTTAATATTCTTTTTGATTTATCTGATTTTATAAACATTTTAATATTTTATGTCATATCTAAAATAGCACGCGCCATGCCATGAGCTATGTGTTATGGATTTATGAAGACCTTTACACTGGTGCGCCATTCACCATTTACAAGTTTGGTTTTTATCAAATAAGGGTGATGATTTAGTAAACCCTATAATATGTCCTAAGGACGAATGACATAAACATGCCACAATGTTTGATGATTCTTTAGATGAACATGAAGGAGTGGAGGTTATTTTTTTTTCAAGGATGAGGGAAAGAGCTGAACCAACCAAATGTAACACGGCACATAGTTTGTAGGTGCTATATGAGTGATGGAGGTACATTGCTGATCAAAGATGCCCCCTCACATTGTTTGAGGGCCACACACACAACTTGTAAGGAACTCTACACGCACCTTGATGTATTCATGACACACAAGCTAGTGAGATAACTCATTTTTCTTTCATAAATTTCTACCTTCTTCATGCATAAATCCATGCTATTTATTGCAAATGCTTTCTGCTGACTTATTAGGTTTATTGGATTGAGATGATCTGGCACATTTCATTTGGTTAGTTTCATGCTGGTTGGGCTAGTTGGAGTTGGATTGAGCCAAAATTATTTAAGTTACATTGATTTAGGAAGTTGAAATGTATTTGAATTTTGGACCTTTTTTTTCTAATTTCTTCAAGGGTCCAGATTGATGGTGGATCTGTGTGCTTGAGGGCTGGGGTAGAGAATGCCCATATTGATTTCGGAGGGGTTTATTTGGTGGTTTGGTGCTATGGGATTGGATGGAGAAGGTTGGGTTAGGATGAGATGTGCATACCACAAGCACAAAACCGGTCATTAAAACCATATAATGAATCCCTCTATAAAATCTTCTTTGATATCAAATAACGTAAAAAACTAATACGGATATTTGATGGAATACTTTTTTGGATATGTAAATGGGTAGATTGCGTTGTTAAAGAGGATGAGAAGTTTGACACAACCTTTGAGACAGGAATGGACGACACACCCAATGGAGCTCTACACGAACGGATGAGTCTATACACAATCAATGGAGGCATGCAATCGATAGTTAGAGTTCAATACACTAATGAAACAATTGATAGGTAAATACTGCCTGAACAAATAGGAGGAGTTAACAGCACACTGGTGAGAAAACCAGCTCAAAATTTCAGCAAAATTAAGTTTACATATTCACAAACTTTAGAAAAATCAACCGTACTTCTCCACAATTTCAAGAAGCCTGTACAACTTTAAGGTACATCAAGTTCATCTAGATCTTATAAGAGAAGACGATGCTTAATTTCATGAAAATTGGCATAAATGAAATTAAGATGGATAACTCATTAATTACATAGTTATAAATGACATTACAGGCCTTAATTATGGCACACATGATTGATAACTTCATGCTCTTCATCCTTTTCTGAAATATGTTGATATTCCATTATTGAGAAATTAGCAAGCTTAGGGAGGAGCACCAATGCCCATGAACCTGAACAAAATAATTATTTTGGTGCATGGCACAACATTGCGGGTCGACATACGGCCTGCTATTAGTGTAAAAAACCCATCGTGGCAGGCAACGTTTTCAAAAACGCGCAAACCAGACGGTTAGGCGGTGTTTTCAAAATGCCGCCGCACTTATAAGCTGCCCCAAACGGGCCCTTAATTATATGGTACATGTTTTCTTGATCATTTTTTTTGTTTGAAAACATTTTTGCTGCATACTTTGGTCTACAAATCTTATTTTTACATGAGCTAGAATATCAGCTCATTTATATTTAGTCTTATTTAAATTTAATAGAAGTGAATCTGCCTCCTTTAATCTCTTCAGTTTGGCATGCTTTTTATTCTAATATGATTTGCAAAGTTAATTGGATGAAAACCCAATTTTCACACAATTTATTTTGATATACAGAACATTTAAAATGAAGTAAGAGGAACATTAAGAAATGATTTTAGTAGCCAATCAAACCATTCCTCCCATGTTCACGAGGTGCTTAGGTCACACAGCATTGCAATGTCGGCTTTTGAACAATATCATCCTTGCACTTTGCTCATTGAGAGGAGTTTGACTAGATGCTTAGGATTTCATGTAGTTTGTCGGGGAAGAGTAAGATTAAAAATCTCCATGCCACAGCAAGCTGTACAGGGTACAAAAATCTTTTTATTTTCAGTTTTTTTGGGTGATGGGTTGCTATTTGAAAGAAATATTGCCAAAAATTGGAGTCTTATTGCCAAAAAATTGAAGTCTTACCATTTTTTGGCTGCATAAAAGCTCGAATTAAAAACTTTTTTCAATTATTGTTGCTTGCACTGGCCTCCAGTTTTAAGAACTATCAATAGTTTTAGATATCTTTTGTCGAGTTGAACAAATCGTTACCAAGATAGTTGTCTATGTCCACATTTTTTTGGTAACTGATATCTGATTTTACATTATTTGGAATCGTTTTGGACATTTCAACAAAGAGATATAGTTTTGACTCTCTCTAATTAGCTAACCTTAATTTTTAAGTGTGTCTTCAATGCATTTCAACCTTTTTGGTCTTTTAGTTTATTTGTTGGGCAAGTACTATGTAATTTTTCATCGCTCGCCTTTTGATGGTTATTGATGATTATGTTGGTGCCCCACTTCACATTTATTCGTCTTCCAATGCCCTTTGGTGATCGGCGCCAATGTTTGTAACCCTCTAACTTTTGATATTTGACGTGTTTGTAACCCTCTAACTTTTGATATTTGATTTGTCTTGTTGATCGATGATTGCCGTTGATTGGCACATAATCATCAAACATTTTTTCTACAAACATTAACACACAATGTAATTTTTTACAATGTAATCTTGCCATTTCTTGTCAGGAGGAGGGTGAATCATTGTAATTGCCTATCATATGTAGAATTGTTTTTAACTTACCTTGGCCCTATGATATTTTTCTTTCCAAAATTTTCACATCTCAGTCTCATGTTAGAATGCAAATTTTAATTTCTATGACATTGAGATTTTAAGCATATACAAATAACATTGTAATCTGTTTTAATATTGAAGGATGTTTTAATGGTCTTTTTTTTGCATAAATTTGAACTTGTATAATTTAATCCTTTGTTAATTGTTTTCTCTTTACTCCCTGTGCAGGTTTTTCTGATACAGCCTCCTCTTAGAGTTGATGAAGGTGACAAACTGATGACTTCTTTTTCAATGAGCCGGTCCAGGGACAATCATCGCCTCATGGATGTAAATTTCACATACGAGTTGCAGCTATTGTCTGAAAAATGCTTTAAGCCCGTCTCCAGAATGTATTATATAGAATGATTATGCAGAGGGGACTATTGCATACAGGTACGTTATTTTTTATTTTTTTTAAATTTTGTCTTTTTTTTTTAACTAATTTCCCTTTGCAAATGAAATGTGATTCTTTCCATACCCCATGCAAGCGGCTGCTTCATTCACTATCATGAAGCAAAGTTGTGTCAAAATTTTTTTGGCCAAATATCTGATAGGATGGATATCAAAGATATTGGATTTACTTCGAGTATTATATACTATTTTATTGATTGCAAAGCAAATCCAATGAATTTGAAATTAATTAAATTTTTTATCAGAATATTATGTTCTAATATTAGGTTTAATATCTTCATTGTGACCTGAAGCCCATCCATTCAAAAGCGTTGAAGTTCTCATTTGTTCTCCCACATCATGTAGAAGTGCTGCAACTGGCTCTACCAACAAACCTTTTGTGATTTTCCCTTTTTAGGAATGAAGGGAGAATGCGTCCTCTCAGAATGTTGAATGTGTTGTTTGAATGTACAACAACCATATTTAGCTGGAAACGGTATTTGCAGTCCTTGAATGTGATGAAGTGTATTTTGCTTTTAGTTTGTCTCTATTGGAATTATTTGTCATATGTATTTTTGAAACAACTTTCTATCCACCATTAATTATATGATGTTTTTATGTTCCATTGAATTTATTGTTATATTGTACTGTTTGTGCTCTCACTTCTGAAACAATGATGCATATCGGAAGATTTGCGGTTGTGGAGAGATTATTTAGTATCTTAGCGTCGCACAAAAATCTAGCACACACTTAGATAATTAAAGTGAGAAATAGAGATACAACAACAACAACAACAACAAAGCCTTAATCCCACTACGTGGGGTCGGCTACATGAATCCTTTTTCTCCATTGCGTCCTATTTAGTGTCATATTTTCATTTAGTTCTAGTAAATTAAGATCATTTTTAATACAATAAGCCCAAGTCTTCCTAGGTCTACCTCTGCCTTTCTTAACACAAGTCGAATTTAAAACATCTACTCTCCTAATCGGATCATCTAATGGTCGACGTTTAAAGTGAGAAATAGAGATATTAAAAATTTTTGTGAGTATATAGTTCTACTCTTCATTCAAGTCAGGGATGATGAAATTATAAAGTTGATGTACAATGCTGTTTCGACAATAATAGTCGTAATGGATCGTGAAGGTCGTATTCGATTACTATAGAGGCAGTAAGTTCATCGTGAATGTTATACATGTTGATTATAATGCCTTTTTTTTGAGGTCATAGTTGAAAGCATGATAGTGGTTAGTAATGTGGGCTATAGATGGTTGTTTCAGGAGTGTTGGTTGGCCACAAAGACCGTAGTAGGGAGTTGCAGGAGCTGTGAGAATGTCCATAGGCTGTATATGCTGGAGTTAGGAGCTGCATGAGTTGAGGTAACGTCCGTAGGTCGAAGAGATCAGAGTTGGGAGCTGTATAAGTTGAGGTAACATTTGTAGGCCATAGAGAATGAAGTTGCGAGCTACATGAGCTAAGATAATGTACGTAGGTTATAGATGCTGAAGTTGAGAGCTGCATGAGCTGAGATGGTCAGTATGTTGTAGAGGCTGGAGTTGAGAGTTGCACAAGTTATGATAATGTCTGTTGCCCGTAGGCCACAAATGTCGAAGTTAGGAGCTACACAAGCTGTGATAACGTTCGTAGATCACAAAGACCGGAGTTGAGAGCTACATGAGCTATGCTAACGTCTCTAGGCCACAGAAATGAGTTGTGGACCACATAATCTGTAGTTGGTCACGCAGACCGTAGTGGTGACATGCAAGGAGAGAACTACAAGAGTTTGGAGATGGTCATGATATTCGGAGTACGAAGGTTGTAAGAAATTATTACGAGCTGTACCATATTTGAGATGTGTTGTTACACCGTTTTTGTGGTATGTTGTTGCACCTTTTTCAGGGTTCGTTTTTGCAACGTCCTCGGGATGTGTTGTTATGTTGGATTCGTTGTTACTTCGCAATATACGCTAAGATTCCACAATGCACATTACGATTTAGCCAGAGTTTTTCATTTTTTCGCAACTTGCGCTGGGATTCCACAACCACATTGTGATTTCGCTAGGGATTTTGCCAAAAGGAGCAGCTGGTAGCGATGGTGGTTGGCGACGACCGACGAGCAGTGTTCAATAGTGGTCGGAGGGTGCATGAGTGGGTAGAGTTCACTAGACCATTGGTGTACAACACGAAGGATCAACTACTCCTCAAAGCTCTGATCTTCCTTTGGTTCAAGGTCTAGCTTTCCTTTTAAGAGGGTGGTAGGACTCTATTATAATTTGCGATAGACCTTCCTGCAAAGTAAGGTAGGAATTCACACCACTCTATCGGATGACCCAGAGAAATTTCGTCGACCGATCGTCGATCGAACAGTGTTTTGTGGACATTTGAGTGCTTTAATGATTTCAAAATTGAGTGATATTGGACTCGTTGGATTCATTTTGTTGAGATGCTTGGTTTGATTATAAGCTAGTTAGATTTTTTTTTAATCTTCTAATTAGGCACCAAAAGTTTCCAAAAATGACCTAATGGTTTGATATGACTTGAATTGGATCAATTTTGGTCTTGTTGTGTCCGCCTCATTGAGCCGGTTTGTTTGACTGTAAGTATGCTGAAATTGAAGTTCTTGATGTTTTTAAAATAAGTTTTGGATGTTCCATTCTAAAAAAAATGCCCTGAAATTTGTGTAATGCCTCGAAATGAGTTCTGGATGATGAAAATTTGTTAATGACATATCAGTTGCCCTTCTATTTTCGGGCGTGTGTGTGTATGTATTTTAAGTGTGTGTGTGTGTGTGTGTGTGTGTGTGTGTGTGTGTGTCTGCAAGTATGTATGCATCTAAATCTATATATATGCTTGTGTGTACGTATTTAGACCCATGCATTCTGTGTTTGTGTATGATGATGGGTCAGGTAGTTTGTCATCACTTACGCTCACTGTATTGCTCAAATTTACTTTTTTGAGAGTTGAGTCATATTCATCCTTACATTTGGAGAGATACATGTTGAGTTGCATGATGATTTGTTGACCTTTTTACATGATTTCAAGTGCATGGAATCTCAATTACATGTATTTTTCACTGGTGAAAAATTTTTAATCTGGGCATTATTTGGCAAATTAGACTACGAGAGTGTGCCTGAATCATCAGGATAATTTAGATGGGCATATTAATGTCCAAATTGAGATTTAGTTGGCATGTGTTAAGTGGTCTATTAGTCGCCATCATTTTAAATTTTAGATAAAATTAATGTTTATATATTTAAATTAATATGCATTATATATATACATTTATTTATATAAATATGTGTTCTTATACATGTAAATTAATAGATTAATATTATATTATTCAAAATTCAAAATTTCCTCATATTTCTCTTAACTAGGTAGCTACATTATTATAATTTTAAGTTACATT